ACTGCCTCGCAGCTCTCTGAAGCGTCACATGCAGCATTACAACGACTTGAAAAAGAATGTAATGAATGATACCATGACTAAAAAATTCAACAGAATAGCAGGGCAACCAGAAGTGAAAAGAAGATGGATAGTAAATGACTTCACTAAAAAAATCAATCATGAATTAGGAGAAGGAATTAAAACAGAAAAAATCGATATACGAGCAGCAAGAAGCATAAAAAACCTCCAACAAAGGCAGAGGAAAGGCGAGGTCATTCTCAGAAAAACTGATAAATCTAAGGTATTTTATGCGAGTAAACCCGATGAACACCTAACTAAATCAGATCAATATATGAAAAAACTCAAGCATATGAGGAACTAGCAGAGAATCCAACAAATCACGTGTTTGAAAAAACAGGTACGTTTCTACAAAGCATATTAAGAAACAAAGAGATTACACAGTCAGCATACAGAAAATTAGCCCCATTAGCTAGTCAAACCGCTTTGCCGCACTTATATTTTAATCCGAAAGATCACAAATTAGGCGTACCACTAAGACCGATCATAGCCGGTATACAATCAGGTACAACAAAAATATCCAAATATTTAGATAGTCTTCTGAGACCTATCTTTGATAAAGCAACAGACGAATATACATTACAGAACTCATTAGATTTTATTTCTAAGCTCAAACAATATGAGATAACAGAACGGAGCTTGTTAATAACGTTTGATATAAGTGATCTTTATACGGTGATACCACAAGAAAGTGCAGTACAAGCATTATTAACTTAGGTTAAGGAAGCAGGATATGATAAAGTAGATGGATTAGAATTAAGAACGACAGCGAAATTAATAAGATTTGTTATGAAAAATAACTAATTCTACTTCGAAGGAAGATTTGAATTTCCATTCTTCGATATCTGATTTGAGTTGAGATCAGGTGATAGGAGAGTTGTATATATAAAATTATTTTTGTCACCCCTGGACCAGTTTTGTAGGAGAAATTCGACTCTGCCTGCCCGAATGGACTTTGGGGCCGAAAGTATTCCGAAAAAACCATAAACGAAGTTTCGTACGAATGAAGGAAGCATTTTGCAGCAAAAGTCTAAATGTAAGAGTTATTCAGAATCAAATTCTGTGGATTATGAGAGCACCGAAAAGACCAGGATTGAACTGCGAGCCCAGCATAAAATTAAGCTATATTTTCAAATAACTAATTTTCTAACTAGTTTATCTTTCAAACTTTTCCAGTTTGTGGAACACATCTTGAAATGTGTATTCTGATGTTTCTGCTTATGATTATTAGCTGACTGAGAAAACATTTACTTACTCTCAACATTTAGGCTGATTTCGAGAAAAAGTATATCTTTTAAAGTATCATATGTTGATGTAAAAAGTGCAAGGTAGCCTATGTTGTAGGCCATGAAATTTCCTACTACTATCTATCTCAAAATACAAGACTCGGGGGCATTTTTTAATAACTTTCGATAGGAACGAGATAGAGACCTGCGATTTTCGCTGTTCAATAGCCAAGACTTGAGCAGAACTTTTCACAAGCGGAAGCAACATTTGAAAAAATTCCAGAGATCGATTTTTGGAGGATCTTTGGAAAACCAGCTCCGTTCTCAGAAAACTAACATACAATGTTAGTAATTTTTTTGCATGCGTAGATAGTTTGGACGTTACTCTACAAAATTATCCAAGTCCCGGCTCTCTAGCTATCGTCGTTCTGGCACAGCTCGCTTTCCCCGAGCACGTGTCCATCTCCGAGCAGACATCTCTGGGAATCTCAAAATGCCGTGGACTATAGGTAATCGACTACGCTGAGCATAGTGGCAACATTTGTTTTTGTGTAGAAATGAATATAACTTCGCCAGAGGCATTGTTGTGAAAAACCGGTTTTTCGGTAAAAATTAAAATCCTTATATCTCCATCAAATCTCATGCTGACTCAAGGAAATTTCAAGGAAAGGCTTAAAAGATGCCATATGTTGTTGACCACGCCGAAAAAATGATCCAGCAGAACATTGATACTCTGAGGTTTTTCCGAAGGTTTCTGGAAAACCTTAAGCCAATGCCCAGCTCACATTCACCTTTTTCGTCTTCGTTTATGGTTTTTTCGGAATACTTTCGGCCCCAAAGTCCATTCG